TGATCGGTTCCGATCCGGCGCTGGTACTGTGCTGGTCCCCCTAGAGGCCCGAGGCCATGGTGCGCCCGCACCGCCGGTAGTTCCGCCACTGCTTATGTGGGCTGAAGGGGCAGCTGCTTTGGGCCCCACAACAATGATTGGGCCCTGGGCGACTGCCCCTTTTGCCCTGCGTTAAAGACGGCCCTGGACATTACAATCACAATACAATTCAAGACAAGATGGCTAAGAGGGCCCTGCCCCTGAGGGCTTACAATCTAAAAGGGAGGGGGAAGTGATACATGAGGAGGGAGCTGCGTGGGGATGAATTGTTTGAGAACGTGATAGTCGAGCGGTTAGGTTGAGGTGGGATAGGTTTCCCTGAAGAGATGAGTCTTTAGGGATCGCCTAAAGGCAGTCAAGGTGGGCGACAGACGGACAGGTTGGGGTAAAGAATTCCAGAGGATGGGAGAGACTCTAGAGAAGTCCTGGAGGCGAGCATGGGAGGAGTTGACAAGGGAGCTGGAAAGCAGGAGGTCTTGGTAAGATCGGAGCCGACAGGGTGATACTTTGAGACCAGGTTTGAGATATATCCGGGGGCGGAGTTGCGGATGGCTTTGTAACTGATTGTTAATATTTTGAATTTTATCCTTTGGGCAATTGGAAGCCAGTGCAGGGATTGGCAGAGGGGGGTTGCAGACACTGGGCGGTTGGTTAGGTGGATGGGTCTAGCAGTTGCATTCATGATAGACTGAAGGGGGCATAGCCTGTTTAGTGGAAGGCCAATGAGGAGGGAGTTGCAATAGTCAAGACGAGATATAACAAGGGAGTGTATGAGTAGTTTTGCGGTTTCATTGGTGAGGAAGGGGCGTATTTTGGAGATGTTACGAAGGTGAAGGCGGCAGGATTTGGATAGTGATTGGATGTGGGGAAGAAAGGTGAGGTCCGAGTCAAGGATGACACCTAGGACCTTGGCATGAGGGGAGGGCTGGATAGTTGTGTTAACGATCTCAAGGGAAAAGACGGGAGAAGGTGCACGGGCAGGAGGAAATATCAAGAGCTCAGTTTTTGAGAGATTGAGTTTTAAGAAGTGTTGCGACATCCAGACGGATACGTTGGATAGTAGATTAGTGACATGAGAGGACACTGAGGGGGTGAGTTGTGGAGTAGAAAGATAGATTTGAGTGTCATTGGCATAGAGATGATATTGGAAGCCATGTGAGGGGATCAGCTGACCCAGGAAGGAGGTGTAGATAGAGAAGCAGTCCAAAGACAGAGCCTTGTGGGACCCCTACAGAAAAAGAAAGAAGAGCGGAGGATTTAGAATTGTAGGTGACGCTAAAGGAGTAGTTGACTAAAATGTCAATATATTTTTGTTATAGTTTTATTCATAACTTAGTTTTTTATTTAGTTCTAGTCTAGTTTTAGTCACTGAAAAGGACGTCCAGCACCGGCTGATCCTTTGACTAGCTTCGGCTGCCGGAGCCCTTCGGTTCATTCGAAACGATGGGCTGGTGTACGGGCTATTTACTATAGCCCGTAAAGCTCCCGAAGCTCGACTAAGCCGAAGTGAAACCTGAAGTGGGCCGATTGGCCTGCCATTGGCCGGCCGAAAAGCCCTGCAACTGACAGCCAGTTGTGATCTCACGGCTGGCTCCGCCCAGTTGCAATGACACATCAGCATCCCCAGCATGTTCGGCCAAACCGAAGCCGGCCGAAGCAAGCCGATGTACGGCTTATTTCAGCCGAGGTATGGCTGAAATCAGCCGTACAAGCTTGAAGGGAATAGCCGAAGAGCGTTCGGCTCACTTCACTTTGGGTCGGTTGTTCACTCGGCTGCCTTCGGCAGCTTTGTGAATAACCCTCTATGATGAAAATTATTAGTTGGCCTGGCAGAACTCCTGGCGCCGGAATGCGGGTGCGCATGCGCAAGATGCACTCTGGGCGCGTGGTGTGGGCCTTGCTGGGGGAGGTTCCCAGCACACACCTCTCTGCTGCCATTGGCTCCCGGACAGAGAAGTCTCCTGGTTGCCTCGACGACCAGGGAGTGGCTTTGATTCCCCTGGCTATAAAAACCTGGTCAGAGCCCTGGCTTGTTGCTGAGTTATTCCAACTCTATGGTGTGATGACCTAGCCCCTTTGTTTGTTCCTGCTGCCGTTTCCTGAACCCTCATTCGAACTTCCTGGTTACCGACCCCTTGGCCTGTCTACTGCTTCTGAACCTTCGCTGCCTGCCTTGACCTGGACTGGACTTGACTACCTCTTTGGATTTGCCCTCTTGTACCTCGCTCTTGGATTTTTACGGTCCGCTTCCTGCCAGTGGGTTCCTCCCCCAGCTGCGAGTTCGCAGCACTGCCTGACACCACATGACATCTGACATGGCAGATGAGGTTTACAATTACAAAATATTAACGTTATGCATGCAAGATACTTTTTATGAAGTGCTCCCTGTGGAGAAAGATCTGGGGGTCCTTATAGACCACAGACTCAGCAACAGCAATTTCAAGCTGCAGCTTGCAGAGCCAGCAGTCTACTATCGTGCATTAAAAAAAGATATTACGGAGATAAAAAAAATATTGTACCACTTTACAAAGCATTACTTCAGCCTAGTCATAAGTAATCATTTCAGCTTTGGTCACCAATCCTCAGAAAAGATTTCCTTGAACTTGAGAGAATTAAAAGGAGAGCAAAGAAATTTAATAAGGGGGATTGAGGACCTGAGTTATGAAGAACGAGTACAGAAATTAAACTTGTTCTCCTCCTTACTTAAAGGAGAGTATGATCATAGGGTTTTGTCACTATCAGAACAGTAAAATGCATAATTCCCTCCATGGTTTGGGGTATCAGCTAAAAGCATAGATTACTTTAAAATTTCAGATGAGGTTCTTACAAAATATACAGGGGTATGGGAGTCTATAGCAACATGTACACACAGCATAGGTTGAAATGTAAATGTAACACATACAAATTATATATACAGTATACATATATGTTGAGAGAGAGAGAGAGAGAGAGAGAAATACTATAGGGTATACTATATAAATCAAGATCGTTGTACAGTTGAATTCATGTAGGGTTGTTATCAAAACAAATTTGTTCAAATAGTGCTTTTTTATTTTCATAGACACTACTATACACTGAATTTCACTTGAGGTATTGGATCTAAAAGTAATATATTAATGTAATATAAAATGCCATGAAATTTTATGTAAAAATGTTTTCTTTCCATAGATTTAGTGAGTATTTAAAAAACCTTTGTGACCAAGATCCCACCAGTTTAAAACCAAAAGGTCTTCAAATCCCAAGATCTGTTCAGTTACCAAAAGCCGAAGATGTTTATGATATAGTCTACGTTAAGAAGAAGTTCTCTGCTTGGTGCCTGTGGAAAGATCTTGTTACTCCAACTAAATTTGAAGACATAATCAAGGTATATCTGTTAAGTTGATGTTGAGTTCAGTAACAGCCAACTAGAAGTACTTTATTATTTAAGGGCAATTGGCTGACAGATATTCAGTTGCTTATTCTGTAAGATAGAATGATAATGCTTGCTGTTGATAATACAGTTTGCAAACCATAATTGCTCTTTGCCCTTTTTGATTATAGCTTAAGTTCTTTTGGATGAAATAACCACAACATTTGCAACATTTGCAATCAGGCACTAAAGTGTATGGTGTTGTTTGGGCAACTATAACATTCAATACTAGACTAAATAATTGGAAAGGGTTTGTAGACAAAAGAAAAATAACCTTCTCTTTGTCCCACTGCTGAAAAACAGTATATCACTGCTTTTTAAAATGTAACTAAAGAGGTTCTTTACTATCTGTAACCATATTAGTAACCATTTACTGTAACCATGTTACAGTAAATAAAGTGATCAATGGTTCATTATACTGTATGTTTTCTGTTGTTTTTAAATTTGATTTTGTCATAGACTTTCTTGGACTCAAGGTAAAACACAACCATTTGTTCTTTGATATCTTTAATTATGCTAGAGGAAAAAAAAAAGATTAGGCAATATAATGGAAAAAACAGACTAGTTAAAATGTTGAAGAGTGTGGATAAAAACATTTGAGATATTAGACTGCAATCACAATATGTGTACAGATCAATTAAAAACCATTCAGATGAGATATTGAATTTTCTAAACTTAATAGGATTCAGTCTGTAGCTGCAATATGATGTTATGTGCTTCTAATTAAATTCCCATGAATTCACAGAGCCTGACACTTCACAGTTTGTTTTACCGACCTTCAGAGCAACTTCTTTCTTCTAAATGTTTCATGGCTTCATAGTTGAGCCTCATATGAAGTGCTGATTTACTCTAGCTATAGATTTAGTATAACCTTCCGTATTTACATATTATCTATAATGATGTTTATAAAGGTATGCACTTCCTTTAATTTCTTTGATCTAAAACCTGTAAAAGAGCCACTTGTTGTCAGAGAGACTGTGTAAGTTGTCCCCATAGTGAAAACCTATTTCTAACCCATAGTCTCCTCCTAACACTTAACCAACCATAACACTTGAGGTACCTGTAAAAATTAGCCAGAAATGTCAATTCAATCCTTGACCACACCTTGAAACCCATCACCTAAAACTAAACCTGACTAACTCTTATAACCATTAATGTAAACATGTGAGCTCACCTCCCCTTGTAAGCCGGCCTCAATTCAATAGAACTGGTACCTGTTCACCTGCCCATCTGTCTGTTCGAATTGTCCTCATAATGCCATGGTGTCCCCAAAACCTTAGTTATCTATTATGCAAATATCAAATGCAACTTTGATATTTCCATAACAAATCAATATTTAACCTGTCTTGCTTGCCTTCAGTGATGCTGCCTTTTGCATTTGAAAGAACCAGGTGGTAGGGGGAGGTAGTCCACTGATGTTGAGCACTGAAGTTGTAATCAGTATATGCATGATAGGACACATGGACTTTGAGATTAGCTGAAGATAAAGCAAGCGCATAAAGGTACTTACTCTATGAGACCTGGGCCACTCTATAAGGTAAAGTGAGTCTGTAAGTTTATCTAATCTAGCTCTACCTTACCCTCTAAAACACCCTTACTGAGGATGCTTACTTTATTATTTCTACAAGTGTCATGCCCAAGCCTTTACTATCACATCTCAGCACAAAGATCCTGAAGCTGGTATGAAATTAGTTTTCTTATCAGTATGATCTATTGATAGTTACTTATGGTGTGCAGCTAAAATGCTTAGGGCCCATTCAAACATCTAGCGGTGACCTGCGTTGTACCGTCCTGGATCAATGCAGATCATCGCAAGGACAAATAGAAAACAATGGTTTCCTATGTGTTTCATTCACACTACAATGCAGTGGGTGCTGTAATGCAATAAAATTTATATTTTGCAGTGTACTGTATGACACAGCAGATCAGCAAATGGCAGTGCAGCACAGCGTGCTGCCGTGTGGGGACCTGAATGGAGTGTACACATTGTATGCACCACATAAAGTTAAAAAAAAACATAAACAGTGACAACTTGGGCAGAGTGTGATACAATGCACACTACAGAAGCTGTCAAGCTAGTGTGAAAGGGCCCTAAGTGAATCCCAAAGAAGGAAAATGAAGGTAAAGTCATCTTGATAATCTAGGAAGTTGTAAGTTTAGGTTACAAATCTGATTTTATTATTTTTCAAAATGCACCTGGTTGTTCAACGCAGCTATTGCATTTGAAAGGTTCCATAATGATGAGAATTTCTAATGAACTGACAAATTGCATTTTGATATAGCTGTAGATGAGTGATTGCTATTTTATATGTTAAAGCTGAAATACTGTATAATTGTTATGGATTGCTCCAACATCTACTCACAAACTGGAGCGAGATCCTTTAGTGGACAAGGAATAAGAAAATTGCTTCTGTTTTTTTTGTGGGGGGGTAAAACAGGGCTGTGAGATTTTTTTGTGAGCTGGAATTCTAATGCACTTTCACCTTCTCTACTTCCCACACACGCGACACACAAATTAGGATAGCTTGACACCACCTCCAGTTTGTCAGCTGACTGATTTTCTAGGCAACCATACACACAGATCACTGTTGCTGGTTAATGAAATCTGTCCCTGTGTAAGGCAATATGATAACTTCCACTCACATTAATCTGCTTACAATATGATTTGCTGTCTCCTTCTATGTCAGCCAGCTGCTCTGCTTGCTCTGCTGATCAGATAGAGTGTGATCAAGCAAATGATCAACAGATTGCATAGCTAAAGTCTGCAATGGCTAGTGGCCAGCAGGGAGGAGCATGCACATCTAAAGGGATGCTGGGATGTGTTCTTTCATAAAATGCTTGGAACAGCAAACAAATAGTTGTAAGAGGTGAGCCAGGGACAGTACAAATCAGAAGGAGAGGGGTTGATGACGCTGCAGCTTCTAATGCTTGTGTTATAGAGATAAGTGTGCAGGGTAAGGAAACTAAGGGGTCTATTCGCAAAGCTGCCCTAGGATCCAGCTGTAGCTTCGGCTGATCCTTCGGCTAGCTTCAGTTGCAGGAGCCCCTTTGGGTCAGTCGAACCGAAGGGCTGCTGTATGGGCTATTCACTATAGCCCGTACAGCACCCGATTGTGGCCGAGTGGCTCAGCCGCACAGCCACAATCTCACGGCTCATCCCACAGGTGATCTAACGGCTGGCTCTGCCCAGTTGTAATGACAGATCAGCATCCCCAAATGACCTGGGGACACTGAACTGTCATTAAACAATAACAACCGGGACCTGCTAGAAGACTCTAGCAGTTGCAGGCCAATAGGAAACAGTTGGGCAGTGCTAGCTGTCACTTCTAGCTCCGCCCAATTGTTGTTTAAAAAAAAATTCTTTAAAAATCTTTCTTTTTTAATTTAATCACATATTGAAATTATTTTTTCAACTCTCTTTTTTTTTGTAAACTATTTTCATTTATTTGCTATTCTGCTCGGTACAACGGAGGTATTCACTCACTGCCGTTCAGCCCCTATGTGAATAGGAACGAACGGGAGCGAGTGAGCTGCTGGAGCTTTGGCTCAGCTAATCCAGATGTTGGATTGGCTGAGTCGAAGTCCTTCTGCACTTCGGCTCAGCTGAACAGTGGAAAACTTCAGTGGGAACTTTCTCTGCTGTACTTTGTGTCTCCTACTCCTGCACCAAAGATTGAGCATCCAGATTTTTGTTTATGATAACTAAGTGAGAATTGCTGCTATTTCACAAATGTGCTTGAATCTGTCTAATCTGTAATTCATAACTTTGGAATCCATGTAATGGTAAATCTAGAATTATATGACTCTCTGCAGACGAAACACATCTGCATATACGTATTAAAGTTATTTAAAGAATTTGCAATTTGCCTATATGCTTGAATTTCAAATGTATTCACTCACGACTGTTTTTTAATTCAACATTATGTAGAATCCATATGGAGAAATGTGACACCATCAAATGACTTTGTATGGTACTAAGAAAGAACTGTTAATTCTTCAAGAGAAATATAAGAAACCTGCATGTAATTTAACCTACAGGGGTCTATTCACGAAGCTGCCGAAGGATCTGGCCGTAGCTTCGGCCGATCCTTCGGCTAGTTTCGGCCCCAGGACCCCTTCTGTTCAGTAGAACCGAAGGGATGCTGTACGGGATATTCACAATAGTCCGCACAGCTTCCGAACATGGTCGAGCGGCTCAGTCGAGCCGAACGCATATGCATCGGCTCGGCTGAGCCGGGCTGAAAGCCGAAGCTGGCCGAGTGGCCGGCTCTGTACCGGCCTGAAGTGAATAGCCGAACAGTGTTCGGCTCACTTCACTTCAGGTCGGTCATTCACTCGGCTGCCTACGGCAGCTTAGTGAATAGACCACATCCACCCCTCTAAAATTTCAGTTCAGCCTATTGAAGTAAAGAATAAGGGTTGAAAAAGAACACGACAGATAGGAGTCTATTTATCAATGTTTTCAATCAAGATTCACCCATTTTGACATAGGATATAATTAGAAAAAGTGACTCTTGGGTGAAAGTTGTGTGAATTTTGTTTGACAGCAATTTCTGTGTTTGACCTGTTGCTTTTCTCTTTTTGTTTTAGCCTAGTATAAAGGACAATGAAAAGGATGTGCATCTGATGGTATGTAACAGAACAATTTGATACCTTCGGTTTAACATTTTGAGACATTTTGGTGCTTCACAGTGTGAAAAAATGCCTATTTCAGTGATGTAGCAGAGGATTTTACAGAAGTATCCAAACGTTTCTAATATGTACTTTAAATTCGTAGTTGAATGTTTGCGCTATTCTGTAACTACCATAAACTCCCAGTTATCCAGCACCCGCGGGGATTGGTAGGTCCCCCGCCCACTGAGCAGAGGAACGGACCAGAGAGAGAAAATACTCTCTCAGGTCCGCTCCTCTGCTCAGTGGGTGGGTGCAAAAGCCAGCCTGCTATTGGCTATTGCAATTTGAAATAGCCAATAGCAAGCTGGCTATTGAAACCCCTCCCACTGAGCAGAGGAGTGGACCTGAGAGAGAAAGTTCTCTCACTGGTCCGTTCCTCTGCTCAGTGGGCGGGATCAATAACCAGCCTGCAATTGGTTATTGCAATTTTAAATAGCCACTAGCAGGCTGGCTATTTCTCCCCATTCTTTTACACTCTGCTGCTGACCGTGGAATCTAGCCACCGGCCGGCCGGCAGCAAGATGTAAACAAGGAATTTCATCCACCGAATCTGAAACAGCACACTGAAACCGCAGAACGAGTGGCGGCCATATCGGCCACTGGTGTGTTCTCCGCATCCGCGCCACCATTTTCGAGTAGATCTAGGTATACACCAAGATGGCGGCGCCCGCATGTTCAAGCGCCACCATCTTGGTGTATACATAGTCCTACTCCAAAATGGCGGTGCCATGTGCAGAATGTGCCAGCGGCCGATACGGCTGCTGCACGTTGAGCGTGTGACGTCACCGTTTTGTGATGTCACACGCTCCGCCTCCAAGATGGCGGTGGGCATGCGAAGAACACACTGGTGGCCAATATGGCCGCCGGTGTGTTCTGAAAATTAATGAATGTATGCCCGAATATCTTTTTTGTATATTTGGGCACATATTAAATTAATTATTACAGGTTCGGAAGAACCGCCGCATTAACTGATTTTCGTTGATTTGCAGGTTTGTCCGAATGCACATGTCTATAAATCAATTATTACCCATTTCTTGCACGCATAATGTCCTGATTGTTTATTTCTTGCCTGTCTATTGTCATTATTGAAAGTTAGTTGCCCACATATTGTAATAATCGCCAATCTGTCGCCTACTTATTGTTATGCTTGACTGGGTTTTGCCCTTGTATTGTCAAAATAGCCCACTTCTTGTCTGTGTATTGTTGCAATTGCCCTTTTGTTGCCCTCTCGCCATGATTGCTGTTTTTTGCCTGCATATTGTCAAGATTGCCCATTTGTTGTACTAACATCTGTTTATTGCCTAGTTATTGTCACAACTGCCTGTTTGTTGCCCACAAATGGTCATAATTGCTTATTTGGTGACCATGTATTGTCAGGATTGACATTTTCTTGCTTACATATTGCCAAGCCTGTGCTGTTTGTTTAGAGGAGGATATTACTATAATTTAATCCTGCGTAGGACTATTATGTCAAACCATATCATTTTCATCCCCATACTTTGCCGCTCCACCATTCACTGATTGGGTGCTGTAAAGCATCTGACGGATTATTGAGGATCACAACTGTGGAGAATGACACACATGCAGTTCTAGTACAGAATCTATCTAGTCCTGTTGCGGCATATCAGTTTGGGTTCCAGGTTTCACTCTCAGTCTCAAGGGAGAGTTTGGATCCACGAAATCATCTGCCGACTTATTTATGAGATACTACTTAGGAATGGTTATTTACATCATAATCCACCCTGGTAGTGAGTGCGCAACATGATGAGGGTGTAGGTTCGTAGAGAAACTGGTGGTACACAGGAGCAGGAACTCAATCCCCAGATGATACTCTATGGCCACATGCAATAGTGTGAACAGCAGTAAAGCTCCAGTAATGCTTATAGCACCATGTACTCCCAATTGCCCAGCATACAGCAAGTAAATAGCAATAGCTCCTGTATACATCTAGCACCATGTACTTCCAATAGCACAGCAAAAGTGAATAGCAGTAACTCCAGTAACATATATAGCACCATGTACTTCCAATAGCATAGCATACAGCAAGTGAGATAGAAAGAGCTCCAGTAACATGTATAGCACCATGTACGTCCAATTACAAGAGATATAGCATTGAACTGCCTGACACAAGGATACTTGCGGTCTCCCAATAGACTTGCACAGCACTCAGGTTGGTTCCCTGGAAGATAGGACTGGAGGCACGATTCCCTGTGACCCTGATGAGCCTACTGCTGTCCTGAGTGAGCGGACCGAACACAGGCGTTCACGGCAATAGTGGAACGTCGTGTGTAGCGGCCGGTCACTATTTATGGAGCCGGAGTTTGTGGAGGCGGGCTCTCCTGCGCGTCAAACGGCCGCCGTGTACCATCGTGGAATGCACCGTGTGGAGCGCATCTGTCTATGACGCTGCTGCAGCCCAGGGAGGACCCGAGAATGCGATCTCGTTACAGGTGCTAGGGGTAGTTTACTGGGGAAAGGGTCCATGTTACAGAGCTTACATGGGATGGTTTACCAACAGGTAGATAATTTCTATGAAGCAAATTTGAACTAAGCAGCAATGCGGGGTGCAATTGCAGGTTAACTTTTGCAAAATTTGCCTATGGCAAAATCAGAAGTTTTATCAAAATGACTATTTTGACTCATTACTAGTAAATCAACATATATTTTATGCCTTGGCAAAAAACAAAGTCCAATATTACATATGTGTAATTAAATTGTAACTGTCTAATAGAAAGAACTTAAACTGATGTACACCTGTGAATGACAGAAAAAATCAATGACTGGTGACATAATAGTTAAGAATTAAAAAATAATTTTAACAAACTCAAAGCTTAATAAAAAATAGCAATGTTTTAATGACAAAATATTGAATTCATATGGTCATATTGCAATCTTGTCTTTGTTGTTGTTTTTGCAGAAAGATTAATTTAAAATACTAGTTACAAAAATAAATCCCCTGATGAAATCAAATAGTTTTTTCACATTTACATTTTAAATGCATCAAAAGCCTTGATAATCATTCTTTGTTCAATTTTCCGTAAGAACATATTGATTGATTAAGCAAAAATTAAACTTTTTCTCTGATATTATGTCATAATCAGTCAGTGTTTGGCTGGCTGAAATTCAGTAGCAACTCAACCTGTATAATATGTGATATGCCCACATACTGGAACTCCACCATGGCCATGCTGCAGTGTCTGCACAGTATGGCACAAGGACAGGCTCGAGGGATATTGTTTTTTTCATACCACACCATTGTACCATTTTGTCACACTCAACCAGAATAATGACCTGTGATGAAGCAAAGATCAACAACATGATCCCTGTGTTGTTCCTGCTGGAGTATGCACTGTGTTGTGTAATAGACTGGGCACAGCATCAGGAGGAAGAGGTAGGCTAGAATTGGTGTCTCAGGCCCAACTTTATCCTAACTGTGTCCTTGGAGGCACCCCGGGACATAGGAAGAGCATGAGGAGGAGGGTTGTGGTGGCAGCAGAAGGATATGGGGATATGTGTAAGTTTCAACCCTTGCAAACATTGTATATGGGTGCGGAGAGTTAGTAGATAACAAAATTGTCCTCAGTGATCCCAAGGACTTGTGTTGCCTCTTGAATTTTGTGGCAACATTTGTGCTTCAGTGCTTGCAAAAGGACTTGTACCATCAAAGAGAGGGATCATTAGTGGTTAACAACCCTTTTGGTTCTGTATTATAAGGGGAAAATGCCACAGCCCATCCTGCCATAACATAAGAAGTGAGAAGTAACATTTCTGGAGTATGTGGTGTGGAGAAAGCTTTTAACATCATTTCCAGAGACTGACTGTATGTCACAATCCAGCAGGCAGTATTCTATTGGATCTCAACTGCGGAACTAACACTCTAGGTGTAAGGGTTCGGTCAGTCATGCGGAACCCCAATACACCCAGTGCGATGGGGTTCCGTTCCACATCATGTACCCGTCCTAGAGTGTTACATGGATATGACCAATGAGGGTCTCAGGTATAAGTCTAGGTATTGTGAGTATACTATCAGCCTCAAGTGGAGGCGTGTGGTGGGTTGTAGTTTTCCACTGCAGGAATCAATTAGGGAAGCGTTTCCTATCACTCCTTTCCAATTCACAATGACCCTGGTGTGGCAGAAATAATAACATGCATTCACTAACTCCCTGGGAGGTTATAATGCGGTGGATTAGCTAAGGTTATCTCCAGCAGAGCAAGGTTATGCAATCTGTAGTAATCTGCAATCAGGTATGTTCAGTTGGTATCAATGCACACAGTTCATGGCTAGCATATACATCTGATATGGTTTGAAGTGGCTACCAATAGGTGGGGGAAGATCCCCTTGTACTTGCGGTTCAGGAGTGGAGAGAGTTCAGGTGAAACAGGAGGTATTCCTGTGTAGCAATGTGAGCCGCAGCAGTTGGCAGTAGCTGAGTCCCCCCGACAGGGAGGCTGAACCCCTCACTTAAGGCTGTGGATGGTCTGTGGCTCTGTTTTCCACAGAGTCAGTCGCTCGAGGTTCCACAATGATTGAACACCGAGTGACTGACTCAGCTGTGTTTAAGAGAGTGAGGAGGCGCCACGCCCAGGGGGAGGAGCCGGCCATGTCATCACGGCACACCTGTCCGAGTCAATCCATGACACTGTATCCCTTTTCATGGACAATGTGGCTTGGAACCTCCTGTCAGTTATAGGAGGAGCAACAGTGGTTCTTTAAGCAAGACTTTCAAGTCCTTCATTAGTAGGTAGTGCCCAGGACTGTCTGCTGGCAGCAGTTATAGGTAGCACCTGCACCATATAATTAAATTTTTATGTAATAATATAATGTTATATTATCTGATATAATTATTATAATAACTATTATTATATTATATTCTGATTATATGGGGTCAAGGGTGGATGTTGATACCCTCAGAATGGATAACGCCCTTGATTATTGGGTAAGAAGGATAGACCAC